TAGCATCAAAAATGTACATTTTCACAAGAATAAATATAGGGGTAACTTTCAAAGATGACAGTCCATAACATTGGCCTCATATTTATTGTAATACTTGAGTCTATTAGCACATCGTTGTGTGTGTGTGTGTACTTTGCAGTAGTGTAGTCGATACCTGTCAGCACTGAGGAAATGAAAAGGTTTTACTTTCCCATGATCTTACCTGATTCCGGCCCTGAGAGGAATCCAGCCAGCCGGGGCAGGTAAGAGGATGGTGAAGGGTAGCGGTTTCCATGGTAACGGCTCAGTTCCCACCAACCAATGAGCCAGGTGTTGGCGGGAGACCACGGGTGACCTTATGTTCCCGTTGACTGGGTGGGTGTACAGTGGTTACGCACCGGGGTCTGTGAGCTGGTTTTCAGCTTCGGCGTATAGGTCCCAGGTTCAGTTGGTTGTATTGTTGTTGTGTGGGCATGAACGTTCAGTCATAAGGGCAGGAGACAGGATTACTGACAGATTAAATAGTTCAGTCTGTGTCTGCTTGCTGTTCTGCGTGTGTGTTCATACCTGGAGGCATCAGAGCAGACCAGAGCACAGCGATAAGGCCTGTGTGGATGGATTTAAATTACTCTTATATCGGTGTGTGTGTGTAAGTATGTGGGGTGGAGTTGTGCACCATCCGAGGACAAAGTGATTTAGAAAGATGAGCTTTTCTCTTTTCTCACCGGCATAAACCTACGCAGCAACTGGTTTCACTTTGAAATTGGTTGAAAACACTAAGAAGGATCAAGAAAACAGTCGCTTCCAATTGAGATGGACAAATTTGTTGAACTTTGACCCTTAGAGGAAGGCAGGCAATTAAAACAGTTGCTGCTTTGGATCAGGGCTGCATGGCACATTGTATTTGTAATGCTTTTGAAATGAATCTTCCACAGTAAATACAAAGAATAAAGGCTAAGAGGAATATAAAAAGCTTCATAAAGCTATTTGTCAATGCTAATTGCCTGTTATATTTCAGAGCTGTAACGTTACATTTCTCAAACTGATCCTTTGATTTAAAAAAAACCCCCAAAAAACGAGTAATGAATTTGAATTCGAGGCTAAATTGTATGCTTCCTGGCTCCTTCACAATAAAAGCTTTTCAGTCACTTGGAATGTGCGAGGCATGAAGCGAGGAGGCGTCTGAAGGGCATTTACTTCGAAGCACCTGCAGCTATGTGATGTTAGCTCCGAAATACTTCATAACTTCTTGTTGCTTCAATAAACAAAGTGTAAACCTGTCTTTCATTTTCTTTTTGTGCCACATTCATGACCGTATATTAATGTGTTTTTGTTGATGACCCTATTTTCAGCATGTAACCTGGTTTTCAACCAGAACAGT